CATGCATCGCGATGGTGGAAGCCACGACTCCGGAAAGTGTCAGAGCCGCAGCCATGCAGCCACTCTTGGATCCACAGTCGCTCGCGCCGCTGAGCTGCTCAGGCCTCAGCTCTCCTGTCGCATCTCGTGCGGGCCTCGGAGTTGGCCTTCGCGTCTGCCCCGAACAGTCTGAAGCCTCCGGACAAATCGAGCACCAGCCAGAAAAAGAAGCCCTGAAGCCATGGACTTCCAAGCCGCCGAGGCAAAACCGGAAACCGAGGTGTCCGAACTCCGGACCCTCCAGGACATGCTGATATCGATTCACCTCAGTGGCTTTCGGATAGGGTGGATAGGGCTGATAACGCCGGATAGGGTTCTTCTGGCCGCAAGCCCCATGCGACGGCAACGCGTTTTCGCTGACGGCAGGAGGCCAGAGATCCGGCTTTGATTTGCTGGGCGGCAGCAGGCACAAGCCGTGCAGCCGGTTTTTTGCAGAGGTTTCGAGCCACCTTGCAGAGGCCTTGAACGTCAGGCGGCCGCAGAGTCGCTGCCGAGGGATGCGGCACGTGCCCCAAAGGGAGCGCGGTGCTGGGGACTTTGCCTTGAGACTGGCACTGGGCTTCACTCGTCTTTGGACCCTTCGAGGCGCATATCCTCTGCAGATGCTTTGCAAGCATCGGAGGCCGTGGGTGCACGGACATGAGGCGAATTGGGAATTGAAGTTGGGCAGGGGAATCGACAGTTGTACAATTAGTCGTGGGTGAGCCTGGACTACGCCCTTTCAGAAGTTGACTAAGGGCTCCAGAATATTCCAGGGTTGACCGAAAGTTTTGGAGTGCCAGCGGACAATTTTGTGATGATTTGGTCCTGGACTTGCTGCTCCTTCTGTTCACCAAGATGGGTTCGAGCCTAGCTCTGTGTACTTGGTTCTTCCAACAAGTCCCATGGCGACGACCTCTGGCTTTTAGCGGACCTTGTGAGTCCAGAGTCTGGACCGCCTTTACTGCCAGATTCCACCGGCCGCCTGACCGATGCGTGGCGCGAGGCCGATGTTTTGGGTCAACAGAGGAGCAGCTGTTCAGTTGCTGCTTCGTTACGGACAAGGCTTTGCTTTGAAAGACCATGTTCTGGCCTCTGGCCGCGCGACTGCATTGCAGGGGCACACCAGCGGTCAGAACACTTTTGCAACATTGCAAACCAGGCTGGACACACTGCTGTCTCTCAAGTCCGTAGGCCATGGCACCAATGCTGGCGGCTCGGGCCCCAGAAAGGGTCATACAGGCTTGCTTGTCAAGATGTGCGAGAGCTTAAGACGTAAACCTCAAGCGGTGTCGCTTTTAGGCGCTGGGCCATCTCTTGCGAAGCCGCGAAGGCGCACGGTGCTCAGAAGTGACAGTGGGCGCGTGGGATCTGAGCTCATGTGATTTTGTACCCGAGAATGGCTTACAAGGGTTTCCGTCACCTTGGGATGTTGGGTGCAGTCCAAATTGATTGCACAGGATCGGCAGTGCCTACGCGATGCTTTGGTCCAGGAGGCGGGCCCCTCGAACCCCTTCAGCATGCTCGTAGCTTCGCTGAGCTGGGGCAGCTCACTGATTTTCACATTGCTTCTTGCTTGGGGCAACTGTTGCCGGCCCTCGCTGCCGAGCAGCCTCTCTCCTCTCCTCCCCTCTCCTGGCTCGATCTTCGAGGCCTCCTCTGGGGCGCTCCGCTGGCCTGGAACTTACAGGGCTGGGCTTTCGCCTTTCTCGGTCGTGTTGTACCTTTTCCAGTGGCCGGGCATGTCTTGCAAGTTTTCCCATGTCAGGGTGAGCTGTCGAAGCCCAGCTGTTTAGGATTCCACTCACCAGGTTGCAAAAGTTCCGCGAACTGCTCGAATTTCCTGCCGGGCTCTCATCCCACCTATTGTTGCCAGCTTGATCGGCGAAGCAATCCGAACTGCAAACCCCAAGCCTGAGCTGAACTTGGCATTCGGTAAATCCGAACCTCGGAACCTTGATTGGCTTGGCTTCTCTAAGTGCGCTATTCTCTTCTTTACTTTCGTCTGGAATCAATCTTCAGTTGCACAACGAGGCTCCATTTGGAGCTGCGGAGGCTGCTGCTTGCGAGGCCGCTTCCTCCATCTTTCAGCACCGCCTCGCTCGATTGAGGCAGAGACCATCAGAGACCCCTCAGGCCCTAATCCCCTAAACCTACCTCCAGGGTTTCAAGCCTGCCAAAAGGAGACAGCGACGGTCCGTAGCTCTGTCGCTACTAGCGGCAGCGTGCAGAGAAGCGCAGCAAAAGCTGTCAGCAGAACGTGCACAGGTTCTGGACCTCCTTTGCCGGGGAGACGAGGACTGCCTGACTGGGGCTCCTGAGGCTCCCACAGCTCCAAGGCGGCTCCGCGACCCTGCGCCCTTTGCTCTCCTTGTGCTTGTCGTTGTTGGGGCTCTCAAGGCATTCGCCATAAGGCTCGCGGGCTTGTTCATCGCATTGGGGGTCAGGGTCGCCAGAAGGGAATGATGGCAACATTCACAGCTTCGCTGATGTCGACACTGTTTGTTCCTGTGGGTCCTAGTGTCTTGTCACGTGAAGGCGTAGATATCCAGATATATCCGACAAGTTAGCATGTTCTTTATAACGTTGTACATCAACATCTTCGTGATTTCTAGGATCTGCCAGGAGCTCACAACACACCTGCACCGTCACCGTCTTCTAACCGTGGCATTGGCCTCATCTGCAGGGATTGTCGCAACCTTTGCAGCACCTCGTTTGACATGACTTCATCGCAATCGCGAAGCCTTGGTGCTCACAGCAGTAATATGGACTGTTGTGAGACGAGCGGTCCTATTCGACTCGGTGTCTCTTGTGACACTTAGTCTCATGTCGTTCTTTTGCAAGCATGGTCCTTGTCGCTTCCCGATTTTTGGTGATGCTGCCGCGGCAGCCGGCGTCATCGTCGTTGCCGTTGTTGTGAGCCGTTTTGGGCTTGTGAGGTGAGCCGTCGGCTTTTAGCGACCTCCAGCGAGGAGGTGCTACCGTCCTGCTTGCGGTGGCTCTCCCGAGCGAACAGCTCTGGCGAATTCTGGCGAATTCTTTCGATGATGACGATGACGAGGATGACGATCATGAAACGGAGGTGACAAATGATGACAGCAGCAAGGGGATATTGTGGAATGGTGAGGATAATGCTGAGGATGCTTCATTTGGTTGGTGTTATTGATGATCGTGATGGATTGGGATCAGGATGGTGCTGGAGGCGATGACAGTGTTTTTGCCTTTTTGTAGCCGGTGCTGCTTCTGCTGTTGCCGCTGCTCCTGCTCCTGCTGCTGCTGATGATGTTGATGATGATATTGTTGCTGTGTTGCTGTTGCTGCAGCCTTGCTGCTGTTGCTGCTGCTGCTGCTGCTGCTGCTGTTGCTGTTGCTGTTGCTGCTGCTGTTGCTGTGTTGCTGTTGCTGTTTGTTGCTTTTGTTCTTGTTGCAGTTGCTGCTTGCTGCTCTGCTTTCGTTGCTGCTGCTACGATTATTGTGATGATGATGCTGATGATGGGGCTTCTGATGCTGATGCTGATCCTCATGCTGAGGCTGGCTATGGTGACGATGGTGTGGATGGTGATGGTGATGGTGATTGGAGGAAAGTGGTGCCGAAATCTGTGTGAACATGTGGACCATGTTGCCGACTGAGGCAACGCTAACGGTGGTGGTTATCGTTCTGATGACGACGGTCCTGTTGGTGGTCGTCGTATGGCAACTGCAAAGAAATTTCCTCATTCTCGCAATGGTGATGCCGTGTTTCCCCGTGGCTAAGCAATATGTGTCGTTAAAGCAGTGGGATTGCTACTCTTGCCAGCGCATTTTCGTCGCGGCTTTCATGTCTGCCAGGTCATCGTCCTCATTTAAGACGATTGTTCGTTTTGGAGAGACGACGTCTTCCAAGTGGTTGTCAATCGCCGTGCGTTCCTGTAGTTGCTGCTTTCATGTGGTGCAGCGCACCAAAACGGACGGCTGTCTTTACCTGTGGAGCCGTGTTCGCTCGCTGAGGGTCTGCAGTTGAAGTCAGAAGGTCCTGACCTTACATAGACTTGAAGAGGCAGCTGCAGCCCCTGTTTGGCGGCATTTCGCTGCTTTCGGGGTCCTTCTGGCAAGTTTGAAGATGTTTGAAGCTTGCTCATGCATTGAAGCAGCGCTACACGTTCTGGGGCCAAAACCTGTAAGGCAAAGCGGTCGAAATGGTGTATTTTCAACAGCGTGTTTTTCGGCAAACTTCCATTTCTCTGCGTGAGTACCTGTGGCAGGTTGGTCGGGATGTCATTCGTGGAAGCACGTTGGGAGGGAGGGGGATGTGGTGGCCAGGGTGTTGCTACCATTTGCCAAGTCTGCTAACCGCTAAATACCCGCCCCGAGTAGGACTCGTACTGCCAGAATAGCCAAATTCAACACTTTCAGTGATGCTACCAACAACAGCAGCTGTTGTACGACAAATAGCAAGACCATCTCCATCACAGTCGAACGATGAATGCTTGCCAGGGTGTTTACAGTTTGAAAGTCAGCTCCCGTGAGCTGTGTCTGGTTCACCACATGTATTTGTCGGCGTATGACTGCTGGTGGTCAGTGACATCACCAGACCCACATCGGGGCCATATTGGAGCGTCATGGCTGTGTAGTGGCAGCGCGGCGCTTCTGAGCTGGGTTGCCGTGTTGCTGGTTGCCGCGCTGTCTCGTGCTTTGATTTTCTTTGCGACTGGAGCCCCAGCTTCGCCGGTTGGAGCACTTGGCTTTGCTGTTGGAGTGCCAGTGCTCTACCCTTGCGGTACCTCTTCCGGCAATGACCATGACCGCGACATTTGCCAGAGCCCGCACGGTTTCGCAGTCCCTTGAGAAGTCGGGAGGGATGGCAGCTTGTGCTTAGCCTGTCGGTGCCGCTCAGGCCCCCCTTGTCAAGACGCCGAGAGCAGAGAGCAGGAGATCGCGAGAGATAAGGGACACAGGAGATTTTTCAGACCTGCGACTGACAGGTTCGGCTCCTCGAAGCTCTCATGACTGAGGAGGTTGACGGGTTGCAGCAGAGTGTGGGGCATTTAGTGAATTTAGTTTCTGAGCGCTCCCAGAAGTCGTCGGTACTCTTAGGAGTCGAGTCTGATGTGAAGCCGAAGCCACCCGCTCCCAGGACACCGACCGGTTTCGACTGGCAGCTCCTCCCCTCTTCAAGCCTGTGTGGGCCTGCAGCTGCCTTGGGAGTCGTGCTGTTGGCGGGCAGCGGGCTGGAAACCATTTTCCAAATACAGGAGGAGCTGGCAGCGAGTTTTGGGCACTGCGGCGTTGGGCGTGTCACTTGCGAACCGGCCCCTCCTGCCTCAGGTCGCGAGAAGCCAGATGCCCCACGGCAGGCGCTTCTGGCGATGCTGCCGGGCTCTGAAGAGGCATGGCTCGGAGGGCTGAAGGGTGACATCCTGACTGCAGATTCTGCGGAAACCTTTTTGCCGAATCGTCAGAAGCGGCATGATTCCTATATTTATTTCGGGACCATCAGCATAGAGGATGGGCTGAGCCCTGCCTGCTGGTTCGCGTGCAGAGGCTGTCTGCAGTGCAACACCGCAAAGACCTCGGCAGTTTCAGATCCTTTAATTGTTGGCTTCTGCCCAGGTTCGTGGGAAGTGCCGGGCAGGGTGTTCGAGGGCTGGGTGTTCCATTCTATGGCCATCGCATGCCTCATCGAGGTTGATGGTTGGGGCTTCCTGGGACCGTTTTGGTCGTGTCTTTGCTGGACCCTGACCCTGAGTCTCTCTGTGCTAGCGTTTCTCGTTCTGGCATCAGTGGATGTAGCACTGCGAAGGGGCCTGATGCCGTAACAGCGTCAATTCGGGCCATGATGTTTCGGGCCGCAGCTCAGGCTGGAGGTCTCTGCCCTCTCTGCCTTGGGGCAGCTTGCGCGGCGAAGCGAAGAGCAGGTGTTTTGGCCTTGCGCACGCTTGCCGCTCTGTTTCCTGAGCTTGTGCTTGTGCCGCTGACCCCTTAAGCGGCTTCTGCTTAAGCCAAAGCTCAGGCGCGCCTCATCCTTCGGTCACCAGCGGTCCTGCAGCAAAGTCGCTCCTGGCAGGATTATAAAGGGGTTCGGAGTTCCGTCTCTGTGTTTTCATGTCCATGGCCGATGCGCGCATGTTTTAGAAGCAAACGCCAGGAACTCCGCCACCAGCCTCCTGGGAATTGACTAGCGTACTGTTCGGGGTCGGTAGTGGCACTAAGGAGCGCGTGAAGCATAACTCAGTTCATGCCTCAACCACATGCTTGTTCCGGCAAACCTGTAAAGATTCAGGGGTAGAAAAACTCCTTTTTTCGGGTGACTGCTGGTGCAGCGTTGTGGTGGTGACTCACTCGGCTTTGCAGGCTTCAAGATCCTGGATCGCTGTGCCTGTGACGAGGACAGGGTAAACGAACGTTACCTCTCTCAATACTGATTTGAGCCCGGGAGCTGTTACGAGCAGTTGTTGGGCGGGGCATTTCCCTTGCACTCGGAACTTAAAACATGATCTTGGAGTTTGCGATTTGACCGCCAGCTCTCCCCAACTCAGCACTGTCGGGCGAGAAGGGTTTGCAAGCAGCTTGGGTTTTGCTGAGGGTGCTCTGGTCTCGGTCTCACCACCTCGGTGCAAGACCTTTCTTGGTGAGGAGAAGGTCGTCGATGTGCTGCAGTTCCTGCGACACGTCCGGGCATTTGTCCCAGAGGAGGCCTTTCGAGCAGAAGCGAGCCGATTTTTTTCGCAATTGCAGCGCTAAGCCGCTAATCTTGCAGGTGACAGAATTGTTTTGTCAAACCGAGGGTTGGTGAGTTTTTGCTCATCATCTTGCTCGTCATTCCTGGATCAGTCCCGGAGATTTCGCATCACTTGCTTGGGCACCGGTGCGATCACTGCACCCTACATGCGACTCTCAACCGTTTGTAAGACTCGAATGTCATCTTTCGTTTCGCACTAGTCCAAATGCTTCGAGCCCAAAGCACGGTCTGAGCCATAGCAATGCATGTTCAAGCTGCATGCGTGAATCGGTTGGGCAAGTGATTTTTGCTCGCAGTTTCTGCGCATCTTGACTGACTGCCTGCCTGCAGCGGATTTGGCTCCTGCGCCTGTCCGCATGATTCAATGTGCCGGGCACATGTCAAGCATGTCTAAGCACGGCCAGGCGGGGTGACGCCTTCCTTCTTTGGGTCTTCCCTTTCGGGCACCCCCCGGGCACCCACCATGCAAACCGCAAGGCCGGCGACGATGTCATCGTCGTCCAAGGACGAAGTGGAAAGGAGAGCCAAAGGTTCTGTGACTCGCCTTGAAAGAGCAGCTCTGGATTTCACCAAGCTGGTCAGCCATCAAACCGTATAAGCAGTGAATCAAGAAGTTGTAGATTGGCAACCCAGGGAGTTGTTTCGAAACAGACCTGTTCTGCCCAGCTGCGCAGGCCTTGTCAGCCAGCAGATTCCACCCGATCTGGAACCCTTGCTGAAGCTGGGCCGCATTGAATGCAGCGCATGCAGCGCATGCAGCGCATGCGGAGTCGCGTGCACTGAGGAGCAAGCCCTTCACAGAGGAGCAGAGATCCCTGATCTTCACCAAGGCGCCGTTAAGCGGAAGCCCGCGAGTCTGCGAGCGCCCCGGCCGCTCCGAACATCGCACATCGAAGTTCGTCCGGCTGCCAGGTTGGTGTGTATTCCGCCAACCACATCCAGCCGCCTCAGAGACCCAAGGCAAGGCCATTCCGACCCTTCAGAGTCGGCCTTTTCGGGGTCCGGGTCTCATCGCTGTGGGGAGCCGAACGCCAGGCACTGGTGGTCTTCGGCCCTCCATCCGTCGGGAAATCAACCCTGAGCATGGAGGCGCGTAGGGCATAGGGAGTCGGGGCCTGCTTTGAAGACCCATTTCATGGACTTTTCTTGTGACCATATAGTCGAGCCCTCGGAGCCTGGTTTCCCATCATCATGTCGGGAAGAGGCTGTTTGAGCGGACATTCGCCCCGTGACGAACTTCTTGCAAGCCGTGTGCTGGGAGAAAATAGGAGTTGCAGCAACAACATTGTGCACAATTCAGAGTCTTTACTGTGCAGGACTGTGCCGTGCGGTGCCATGCAAATTTAGTGAAATCGCACGTTGCGTTCGGATCAGGTCGCCAAGCGTATTTTCGACACGCCTGGCAACGTCGTGTGCGGGGGACCAAGGAGCGGAGACCGAGCGAGGCTGCCTCTCAAACCTCTGTGCCTCCGCCTCCTTCTTCATTTTTGGCAAAGGAGTTCGTTGCCCGTTCTCAGAAAGCTTCCGGTGGTGTTACCCCCGAGGTGTTGATGGCAATGACGTACGCGATGCGCACGACGGGTTCCAAAAGGCCAGCTTCCCGCGCTTGGTTTTCTTCGGAGCTCCACTCTCGTTAGGGACCAGTCGCTGGAAAGTTGCTGTTGCCCCCTGCTTTTAGACGGCGCTCCTGCAAGTCCGAACCCGTTGCAAGAGCCCAAACCGGAGAAGAGGATGCGGTTCAGGTGGCCCAGCACGGCTTGCAGCACAACCTGATCCATACAGACGCCTGGGAGATCCTGAAGGCCGAGCCTGGCCTCGGCTTTAGGACACTTTAGGAGACTTTAGGACACTAGGGCTCTAGGAATCATGACGCGAGACTTCCAGTGACATGCTGTGTGAGCCTGGCTGAAGGCAACGAAGACCGTTGAAAACCTGAAGAAGGACCTCCGGAGGGCGCAATGCTTTGGCGTGGGATTCCTTGGGTGCCAGCACCAGGGCCAGGGCCAGGTTGTTGATTGGGTCTTCTGGGACCCGCACCTTACCCGGGAGACGTTAACCTTAGCGAGAGGCAGCATGCCCAAATACCAGTTCGTCACAGCAAAATCGAAATGTAGCACAGAGCTGGAATTGTGCATTGTGGTGGAATCCACGATGGCTCCCTTTGCGACTCCTTTCGTGGCTGCTTCCCCCCAGGCCCAATCTCCTAGGGAGGCTGCGTTCCCGTTCCCCCGTCGTTCTTCGTGGCATCTCTCATGTCTCGGTGTCCCGCAGTGCGGGAGCGGAATCACCCTGCGACTTGTTTCCGTGAGTGTGACTGCAACCGTCGGAGTCTTGCGATAATATCGGGCTTCTTCCGAACCTTCTGAAATGTACGATTCATGAACTTCCTGGATGGCTCTCGTCGGCCGCATTCGGAGCCGGTCTACGACCGGGCGGCTTTGCAGTGGTTCATGTACACGGTAGCGCTTCGGATAACGCTTCGGCAGCACAAGGTTCGCAGGAGTTGCAACCTTGTCTGATCTTTCAACGACTACAAGTACCGTCCGGTGTTGCTGAACGAATGGCATGGCCGCATGCTTCAACGATTGGCTTGTAGGCTTGAGTGCCCAACCTACCGATGCAAATGCACGTGCAATCCCGGCGGGGCAGCCTCTGCTGTGCACCCGTCCAACAAAGTGCAGCTGTCGGGGATGCGATTCCATAATGTGCTAGCCGGCCGAAATCCATTCCGTGCTGTGAGGACATCTTCGCCTTGGGTGTGAAGAACCGACAGAATCTGATCATTCCAGAGTGCACCTTGGCTCAGCAGCATGTCATCAGGTGTTAGTCTAGGCAGCTATGCATGTGGTGCAACTTGAGGGTTACACGGTTACACGTATGCAGCAAGCGTTGACAAGTTGGCGTCAGCATTGAGAGCCAATGAGCTATTGTCTGTTGATTGAGGGCGGGGCTCGAGCCTGACGGACTGGGTGTGACCTGACCTCCCTGATAGTAACCCTCGATGTTTGGTCAGTTTGTGCCAAACTGGCATCTGCAGAGTTCAATCCAGAAGCGCTGCAACAGGTGCATGATGAAGTCTCCGAGTTCCAGGTTTCAGATGCGGGGGATCTGAGGTGCGCTTAAACCTGAGAGGGTGTACAAGATGCTGGAGCAGATGGAAAAGGCAGCAGCTTGGCTACGGATGGACCTACTTGGAAGGGAGGCCACGGACAGAGGCTCATAACAAACAGAAGATTAGCAGTTGGTTAAGCGGCGCTACTGCTACTGCTTCCGTTCGCAGTGGCAATTGGTCTTGAATTCGGAGCGATTCCAGGGTTTGCCGGAGGCCAAACCCTAGCGTTTGACCGCAGCAGAGCCAAGTTACAACTTGATCCCATCCTTCGAGAGTTGACCCAGCGACGGCACTTCCCTGCTTTCCAGGACTACGAGATGCATGCCATTTGTCTCTGGGCACCTCTCGAGGCAGCGGTGCTTTCGGTCCCTTTTCGAATTCTGAAAGATTCAGGAGCCCAGGTCTGCATGTAGCCGGGTGTTTGTGTGCGTGTGTGTAGGTCTGCGACCGTAAACTCTGAATGAGCTGTGGGGCAAGTACAGTGAGTTAAGTTGCAGCCTCTTTCCCCGTGCTCCCGAGAGGCCGCGCAGCAGCGGGGAAGGGTCAGATCACTGAAGGCCACGGGATCTGGGAGACTCTGAGATGCGGGCGTTGCGTGAGGATCCGAGCTGCAAACGTCTGTACCGGCGTCGGCTTCACACTGACAGGCTGGAAAGGCCTACAGCCCCAAATTCCATGGTCCCAGTTGTCCGGCGCTTGGTTGAAGAGTCGGTGAGACTAGTCGATTTAGCGCTGTGTCGGAAGCTGCTCTCCCACCGCTCAGGTGACGGGGCCGTGGATTGCGCGTGGCATTGGCACAAGAAGATCCAGGAGGGAAGCCGAGCCTACTGCAGCGCCCTGGCACAGATATGAGCGCAGCGGTCTAGGGTCTCCGGACGAAGTGAGCATTCGTATAAAGGTCCGTGTGCTCTTGTGATTTGAACCGATGTTGAGACGTGCAGCTATGAGTCTGCAAAAGTTTTGTGATATGTCCGCGAAACGAACAGCAGCGAGCTGCGACATTTTTGCTTTGCAGACTTGGCATCTTCAGACTTATGAGTCTTGTTGAGAACTTTGTCACATGTTATTATTTTGCAGGTGTACAGGTCTAACAACCGTCACTTAACGCCGCAGCAGGCTCGCCGAGGTGCTAAAAACAGGTTCCCTTTCCCAGCACTTTGAGTAGGGCGATTTTCCGAGAAGGTAACTGTCGTTAAAACAGTCGACGTAGGCAGATCTAGGCCGGGGCCATATGTCTGCGTAATTACTGTGGTCTCTGCTAGTGATACCTACGACTACCTACTGCTGCAGTTCCTTTTCTACTACTGCTACTAGTACTAGTACATCACTCCTGCTACTACTACTACTACTACTACTACTACAACTACTACTACTACTACCACTACCACTACCACTACCACTACCACTACCACGACCACGACCACGACCACGACCACGACCACGACCACGACCACGACCACGACCACGACCACGACCTCGAACACGACCACGACCACGACCACGACCACGACCACGACCACGACCACGACCACGACCACGACCACGACCACTACCACTACCACTACCACTACCACTCACTACCACTACCACTCCCGCTACCACTCCCGCTACCACTCCCGCTACCACTACCACTACCACTACCACTACCACTACCACTACCACTACCACTACCACTACCACTACCACTACCACTACCACTACCACTACCACTACCACTACCACTACCACTACCACTACCACTACCACTACCACTACCACTGCTGCCACTCACACGAAAGATGAAAAGGTCCCACGAAACAATCTTCCACGAAAACGCAATATCCTGATCTGGAATATCGATCA